CTGTCAGCAGAATAAAAAGGTTCTGAGAACTTTGAAGCATCTGGACCTGCAGCAGAACCTGAATTCTGTTGGTCTTCTAGCTCATATCTCAGACTGGATCTTCTCCTGGTTCCGTCGTTCCCACATTTCCTTCTTCCTGCAAACAGAGAAGCTAGAATCCAACAGAACCTCTGAATAGAACCTTCCTGGATCCATCAGCTGATCTGGGTCCAAATCAGAGTCAATCAGTTCTAAACTGATCCAGATCAGCCCAGAACTTTCTGGTTCCTCCTGCCAACAGACAGGTCCAACATCTGATAGTTCTGCTGTGTGACTGTAATCATGGATCAGAACCATCATGTTAAAGTAGCTTCATCAACACTTCCAGAACCCGGTCCGGTTGGCAGAGAGAGAAGCTTCTCTACTCTCAAGGTTCTGAGGAACAGGAAGAAGCTGAGGGACTCAGGAGAACCCAGAGAGCTTCATGTGGACTGAAAAGGACGTCCTCATGTCCTCTGACACTGAGCCAGAATCAGAACCCTGTTTCCCCTGCAGTCAACTAACGGGTCTCCAGGACACACTGTCCCACAGTGGGTTCTGCTGCTGATTGGACCCACAGCAAAGAAAACACTGTCTCTGTTCACTGGAGACATGGACACATTTCAGACTGGAACCAGTCCAACATGTTGGACCTTCATCCAGTCAGAGAAATGTCCTCAGAGCTGCTGCTGCTGTCTGTCCAACTCATCTGCTCCTTTGTTGTCTCTCAGTCCCACAGGTGGAGATGGAGTCAGGAGAGAAGTCTGTCCTGCTGCCCTGCAGAACCAGAGATAACCTGCCTGGAGATGTTACAGTGGAGTGGAAGGATGGAGAAAATGATACAGTCCATGTTTATAAGAATGGTTCTGATCAGCCTGAAGAACAGGATGAGTTCTACAGAAAAAGAACCCAGATGAATGAAGACCCACTGAGAACTGGAAACCTCAGTCTGATTCTGAAATACCCAACAGATAAAGACAGTAACATCTTCACCTGCAGCGTCTACAGCAAAGAGGGAAACATCCTGATAAAGAAACAAGTTCAGCTAAAGGTCAAAGGTCAGTGCTTTAGATCAAGGATTTTTCTCATTTTACATCCTTGTTTTTCTTCCATATCTGTTAAACATCTTCACCCTCGGTTCAAGTTCCTTTCCAACCCTAAGAAAATATCAAGGCAAGTATCCTCAGAGCACCTGGATGTGTTCTGGTTTTGCCCAATTTAATCGAGGCTGGATTCTGTGCACTTGGTCCAGAGATCTATCCCACAATGCATTGCACCTTCAGCAGCAATAAATGGAGAGTAAGTGCATTATTTAATGCTTTTAAACAACTAATAGTTTCTGAAAGCTCTAAAAATTAGCTTAAAGATGTTTTCAGGGGAGAAACTTGACCTAGGGCTGGGCGATATAGAAAAAAAGCTTATCGATAAAAAAAAATGCATATTGATCAATATCGATAATTATTGAAAAGATTTGAAGCCATATTTTATGTGCAGCTCTGCCTGGACTTTTTATAATATTGCTAAATGATTTAATTTTAATAAAAAACACAAACACAGACTTCGAATTAAATCTTTATTTAACCAACTTTTTTAAACATAACAGCATTGTTTAAAAAAAATAATAACTTAAGAGACCTGAGTTATG